GCTGGGGACACAGGGCCAGGGACTCACATTGTCAGAGCTGCCCGAGAGCAGCAGGTCCTTGACGGTGAGGGCACAGGAGGCGGGCGGGGGGACCACGGGCAGGTCCTGGCTCTCCTCCAGGAAGAACCCAGGGTGCCACATGTCTGGGTGAGGGCAAAGTGGGGCTGTCAGCAGTGCTGTCCCCTGTCCCCAGTGTCCCCACTGCAGCCACAGCCCCAGAACCAGGGTGATTTGCTGTCCAGTCAAGTGAGCCCAACTCTGTCCCCCCAAATTGTCCCTCTGGTCCTGCCCCAGCTCCCCCCAAAACCAGTCTGCTCAGTTCACCCCGGTTTCCAAGCTCTCCACGCTCTGCCCATCTCCTCCCTAGCCCAACAGACCTCTCAGTTCTCCTCAGTTTCCCCCAATTTCCTCACAATCCCCAACGCCTCCATCCCCCTCAGTCCCTCAGTACCCCCACCCTGCTCCTTTCCCAGTGTGGCTCACCCAGGTCGATGGAGACCTCAGGGTGYGGGACCCCAGACCCSGCTGGGGGAGGCTGAGCCCGGCAGGGGTTGCTGTAGGGGTACAGGAGCTCTTGGGGACCCCCATCACAGCTCCGGGGGGGGCTGTCATGCTGGTCAGAGGGGGGGTCCTCGGACACCCCGCTGTCACTGGTGGCCGGGGACCAACTGGGCGAGTCCGACACGGAGTCCCCGGAGCCCAGGATGGAGGTCAGGAAGTCCTCGCTGTCCTGGGCACGCTGTGGGGACACAGTGCTGGTCACCACGGAGCACCCACCCCTGGGAGGGCTGAGCTGGGTGGGGTCCCAGCGTGGGGAGGTGGCTCACCCTGTCCTGGGGCCAGGCTCCCGGGGGTGTTCCCAAATCCACCCCACGCAGGATCCCGTCCTGGCGGTCGAACAGGAGATCCAGCAGGTCCAGGCTGTCGAGGCTGTCCGTGCTGGAGGCCATGGCTGTGGGGTGGCAGTGTCAGTCCCCAGCCCAGCCCCCGTGGTGTCCCCCACAGCCACCCTCCAACATGAGGTGCACCCCCCAAATCGTGGGGCAGGAGCCTGTTGGGTACACCTGGAAAAGCCCTACAGGTGTGGGACAGGATGTGGGGGCTCCAGGTATGGCAGTGCCTCTCCCCAGCCTCCTTCCAGCAGCTGAAACTCCCAAATCCTCTCATTTCCCACCCAGAACAGCCCAGCTGGGGGTTCCCTCCTGGAGGGGACWGTGCTGGAAGGGCTGGTTAATCATTTTGGGTGGCAAGTGGAGGGGAGGGGACTGCAGCCATCGGCCACCCCAGGGAGGAGCCTCAGTCCCTCTCTGCCACCCCAGGCACTGCTTGAGACCCCAGACTCAGACAGAGCCACAGGGCCAGTTGACMACTAGCCCAACTGGCCAATCAGCCAACTGACATCCCAACTAGCTGATCTACTGACCAACTGGCTGACCAGTCAATCCATGAAGCAAATGGTCAACCTGTTGGCCAAGTGATCAATGGATGGACTGACCAACCAACCAACCAACCAACCAACCAACCAACCAACCAACCCACTGGCCAAGGGACTGACCAGTCACCTCTCTGATGGATTGACCACCCAACTGATCAACCACTGACTCCAGCGTCCTCCAAGCCAGTTGGAGACAGTTGGCATTACGGTGACATTTGTCCAGCCAAGGTGGAAACGGGGCTTTATTGTACCCTGTCCTTCACCCTCAGTGCTCTCAGTGATTCCTGATGGCCCCGTGGGATCTCGTGAAGCGATGGCAGCCAGGACATACCTGTGTGAGATGCCATGGATTGTCCTCTCAACCCTCTCTGAGCGCCTTCTCTGAGGGGAGCGGGGTGGACAACAAGCCCGGCCTTCACCCTCCTCCTCTTCCTCCTCGTCTGTGATTCCCTGACCAGAGTGGCAAAGTTTAAACTCCAATGCACAGAAATAAWGTCCTGGGTTGCAAAACGTCCCAGCCCTGATTGGGGCCGTCGGGGTGTGATGGCAGGGCCGCCCCGGGGCTGGACCCGTAACTCATTAGCCAAATGTTTTTGTGCTCCTCTGCCAAGCAGGGCAGGAGGGGCCGGGGCTGCCGGGCAAAGTCCAGGTGCTATAATTGTCCATGAACCTTCACCCACTTTTGGGGAAGGTTTCCCTTTTTTCAGACGTCTCGGCATGAATCACATTTGATAGGTGCTGAGGGCAACATCCAGGGACATTGGCTTGGACTCTATGACTTATGGCTTATCCAAAAAAAAAAAACTTTGGTGCCCTCAGCTCCCTGCGGCTCTCCCTGAAGAGAGACCATTGACAAGGGATTGAGGGACAGGACACAGGGAACGGCTTCCCATTGCCACAGGGCAGGGTTGGATGGGATATTGGGAAGGAATCGTTCACTGGGAAGGTGGGGAGGCCCTGGAATGGAATTCCCAGAAAAGCCATGCATCCCTGGAAATGTCCAAGGCCAGG